TATTTATATAACAGTAGTGCTCAGAGACCTTCATTAGGATTGGGACTCTCTTGTGCTATGTGCTATATGCTATGCAAACAGAAAAGTAGAGAAAGTCCCTATCTCAAAGAATTTGCAGTCCGACCCAGCTAGCATAAGTTGTCATTGCCGCTGTCTGTGCCTTGATCCCAGGTACCTTATTAGAAATCCAGTAAGTACACATTAATCTTAATAGAAACCCAGAACAGGCCTGGTTGGTAGATGTAGATTGTTCTGAGTACCAGTGCTGTGTCTCTCTGAAGTGCCTAGGACTTGAGCAGAGGTATTGGAACTAACACTCATAGTTCATCCCTGGCCTCAGTATGGGTGAGTTGATTCAGGCCCAGGGTAGTAATGAAGAGTGAATTGTGGCATATACCTCTGCAGCAAGGGAAGGAATGTGATAGCTTTAGGCTATTGGAGATCAATAGGTGGTGGTGTACCCTGAACACACAGTTCTGTTCCTAATCCATGGAACCATAGTAGAGAACTGTCTGATCACACGACATTTGCTGTCCTGTTTGTTTTCAGCTGTTAAATCACATGGAAAAAAAAGTAGGAATATGTTAAATATTTCTACTTTTCTGTACAAGCAGTTGCTGTTACCACAAACAGGTGGAAAAGTGATTTGCATTACTGAATTGGAAGACAGTGGTCCACACTGTGGGGAAAGTTGAGAGCCCCATGCCTATAATACACTTTTCACTTATATCAGCAGTTGTGCTGGAATGGGTTTAAATGTATCAATATATCTGATCAATGACTATAAATAGTGTTCCACAACTGGGGGCTTCCTTGCCACCCTCCCCACTCCCTCAAGTACACCTTCTGTTATTTCATCACAATGTCTTAGACAGGTAGGTCTTTTAGTTTCTATAGTTACTGTAATAGTGTGTAAGTGCTTGATTAATGAACATAGAGGGGCAGATGTGTATTTGTAGGGTCTTGGCCATACTTCAGGTCATAGGAGGTGACCTGCAGGAATGGAAATAATTTCTACTTTACCTTATGGTGGTATCATAATGCATTATTGTATATGTGCATTTGACTTCTACTTTGCTTTACTCTGAAACATGTATTTGTCACTGTTAGACGCAGCATACCAGCTGAGACGGAGCTTTTCCCCTTTTGATATGGCAGCTCTTATATAAAGTGGATTTTGTATCAGGTTGATAATCCATTCGGATAGCTTTTCTTTCGTGTATATGATAAACGTGTACCTACTGGCTTTGCTGATGCTGCAGTGTTGTGCAAAAATGACAAGGTCTGTATTGTTTGTGTATTGAGACACTAGCTGTTGTTGCTAATCAGAATCCTGATACCTAAAATTAATAGCGGGTCTGAAGGACAGCAATTAAGATAATTCATCTTCCAAATGAGTCAATGTGATATCCATTGGTAGTTTAAATTTATATACTGAGGGCACGTAAACCATTAAAAAGGGTAATGGGTGCCCTCAAGGCATGTGTTTCAAAGCAGTATGTCATTTTGGTGCTGTGACAGTAGATAACTTCGCTTTAAGGGAAGCTGCTATTCATTTATCAATTAAATGTCTATGGAAATGTTCGTGTTTGCTGTAGAACGATCACAGCAGTCTATTGGAAGTTAAATCAAAGGATAAGATTTGTGTTTTAAGACTTTATGGCATTATCATGAGAGATGCTAATTAGAAAGCGTTCTTGGCGGTGATAGGACACTGGAGAAGAACTTTAAAAGGTATTAATGTTTCTTTAGAGAGACAAGGTGGGTGGCATAATATTTGTTATTGGACCAACTTTTGTTGGTGAGAGAGAGAAGCGTTCAAGCATACACAGAGCTTTTTTTCAGGTCCAGTAAAAGATATTACCTCACCCACTTTTCTCTCTCATATCCTGGGACTAATATGGCTACAACAACACTGCATACAATTAATGTTTCTTTGACACACCCACACCCACCCACCTTCTTTTGTGTTTTGCCATCCCTGACAGTGACATAGGCACAGCAATCAACTCGGTTTCGAATATCAAATGTTACTTTGTGTTTTTTGTTGTTGTGTTCATATTGTCAAAATGATGCAGGAAAAGCATAATATATGTAAGGTTTCACTCAGTTGGAAATGGAGCTGAATTCAGATTTGTGGACAAGGCAGTCCACCATGTCAGACAAGGAAATGAATTCCAATTTAGGTTGCCAGTAGATTATGATCTCTTCTTACTGCATTTTATCTACCTTTTTGGTGCTGTCCATACTGGGTGAAACAGTATTTAGTAACTGTTGGCACAAGCAGAGTCCTAGCATGATTTTATCGACAGATATAGAAAGGGATTTTTGTTGGGGTTGGGGGGTGTCAAGTTGGCTAAACTGTGTGACAGACCAAAACGCCTCCGTTCACCGCCTACTCTATTATGGTTTTATAACATGGGTCCAACACACAATTCTTAAAATTCCAGGAAGACTGTTTGCCCTTGTTAAAACAAACACTTGTGAACATGGTTGTCATTAGCATGGTGATGGTCCTAGTGTGGATAAGACTTATGTCCAGGAAGAGGTGTGTGTATAGGAAGGTACTACATAACAAATACAACTAGAAGAGGTTTTTGTGCGGATAATATCTGCTACAAACCAACCAATGTCTTGAAATGTATTTGTTGTTTGCAAGGAATTTTGACAAATAGTTTTGACACTCTAGGTGTTTGCAAAGTACTGTCTTAAATGCATCGTCCTTCTCGTATGGCTCATCTACATTGGGTGGTATTGTTTCTACTCACTTGTTAGATGACTGACACTTTTTAAACAAAAGCATAACAGGTAGAACAGCAGGAAGCCTGGCCTCCCGGGCAGGGATTGGTTGAAAGCTTTTTCTATCAAAACTGTTTTAAGTGGAAAATTGGATTTTGCCTAAACAAATATATTTTTGCTAAAAGGGTTTGCTTTCTATGGGAAAATCTTCACTTTTCATCAAACTCTCCAGCCAAAATTTTTCCGTGGTAGGCCAAAAACATTGGATTTTTCAGTTTTTCTGATAAAAAGTCAAGTTTCCTGCAGGAAGCACCACCCCCCTCCCGATTTTTTTATTTTTTTCTTCCAACAAGTTCTACACCTAGACTATTTTTGTGTTGCAAATGCAGTGGTAGTCAGGGTGGTTTGCAATCGTCCTTTCTTTCTCCAGGAAAAACAAAAACAAAAAAACAAGCACATGGGAGGATGCCATTGAGATGGAATGGAAATGACACATTTTTCAGATAATCCTGAATTTACCATAAATGGAAACAGAGTTTTTAAGTCACAGCATCAGGTCCTGTTTTCAGTATTGTATCTGAAATACTTAACACAGCTCTGTGGCCTGTTAGAAATGGTCTCTAGTTTATTGTTTAACAGCAGGGATTTGTGTTTGCAGCAGTAAGAATTGTTAATCATACCAACGTACTGACTCAGACTACGTCTACACAGGGATAAACAACACATGGCTGGCCCAGGTCAGCTGACTCAGGCTCACAGGGCTTGGTCTCAGGGGCTGAAAAACCGTTGTGTAGATGCTCGGGACCCTGGGAGGGTGGAGGGACCCAGAACTCAGGCTCCAGCCCGAGTCTATAAGGTGCCACAGGACTCTTTGTTGCTGTTTACAGATCCAGACTAACACGGCTACCCCTCTAACACTTAACACCTACACAGTGATTTTATCCATGCAGCCTGAGTCAGCTGACCTGGGCTAGCTGTGACTGTTTTATCCCTGTGTAGACATACCCTCAGAAGCCAATGAGGCAGATATGAGTTGCCCTTAAATACCTCTAACTTATTTTCAACTGCCAGATACTTCTATAACCTTCTTCCTAGGTCCCTATGGCTTCTCTTAATGGATTATATGCTGCTTTTAGTATAAAGATGGTCATGCTCTGTGTTTACAGTCTCACTATTTCTTGGAGATAATCAAAGATTATCTGTTCTGATCTTGCCTCCCATTTTCAAAGCCAAGCAGCAAATCCAAGGATTGTTTACCCTGGATGGAGATAACAGCTGCTGCAGAGCTACGTGCATGGCATCTGTTTTTCCTATTGTGAAAAATACCTCTCCTCCCCTGAAGTCCCTTTCATCCTCTACTCTCTTTCTTGTGACTCCATCCTTCATCTCTTCTCTCATATTCCTCTGTCTCCTCTTTCCTCCCCCACTCTCACCTTTTTCACCTTGATCTTCATAAGTGAAGGAGAAGATTTGAAAACCTGTTAAACAGGACCATTACCAAACAGTAGATTTTTATCATGCTGCAAACTTTGTTGTTGTTTTTTTAACCCCCCCCCCCTCTTCCTTCCCCTCACAGTTCCTGTTGTTCTGGTGATGGGCACTGGAAAAAGATTTTAGATCCATTGTTTATGACCCTGAAAAAGAGCCTTCAATTTGTGTTGTTAGGCTGGGTTGGTTTAATAAAGTAAGAGTGTCAAATCCACTTTGAAGAAATCAAAATATTATTTCAATTCTCAGTGACTGTAATTATACTGTCAGAGTGCTTTCTCTTTCCTCTACTCTTTCCTTTCCCTCTGTGTGAGCTCTATCGATAAGTTTTATTCACTGTTTGGACTGCGTAGGCTGTCAGTGCATCAAGGAAGTTGTTGATTGCACCTTTACTGTTGTTAGCCTTGTTCATTGCTTTGTATTTTTTCCCCCTCAGTCTAGATAACATGTCACTTTTTATGCAAACACTGAATCAGGTTCTACTTTGACTTCAGTAGCTCAATCTGTGATTTCCTGCTCCTGTAGAATGAGCCGTTGGGGGAATTTGGCTGTGGGAAGCAGAGAAAATTTAAAGAGAATAACATTGATGGACGAGAGGCTTGAGATTTTTAGTTTTGCACATAAAAGCTTGTGAACTGTGTCATAGACCGTGTGGGCTCTGTGGCAGATGTGCCTAGAAGGAACACCTCTGTTTGAATTTAAAAGAATTTTTATTTTAAATAAATATAGAATTTGTAACTAATAAAACATTTGGTTTTCTTTCTTTCTTTCAGGGGGATGCACTTTTGATGATGGCCTGGGGCCCTGTGATTACCATCAAGACCTATATGACGACTTTGATTGGGTGCATGTCAGTGCTCAAGAGCCTCACTATTTGCCACCTGAGATGCCTCAAGGTGAGAGCCACAGTGGTGATGGTACAAGTTGAAGGGAAGGATTTGTGGCTTGTGTTTCTTTGTTGTTTTGAGAATTTTGAAGTTTCCTTAAAATGAGGTTACAGCCCTTGAACTTCCCTTAAAACTAGATAACACACAAGCCTGCTTTAGAAAAAAAATAATAGGTAAATCTTCTAAGTGCTGGTCATGATTTTAGCTGGGTGGACTCCTGATTATTGTAATGAGCATTACACAGCCAGAACCTGTGGAAGCACTTTGCAAATATACCCCTTCAAATGTCAATAAATCTGTTTGTTCAGTCTTCAGTCTTCCTTTTAAATACACACAAGAACTTAACTAGCTTCTGCTAACTCTGTCCTATTTAAAAGAAGCATAACAAAATTTTACATTTTAAATGACATCTGATATATTTAGACTGAATCATTAGATAATATTAAAAGGCGAGAAAAAGATGCTTACAGAAAACTGACTGCTCATCTGGGGATAATCAGAAAGGTGATTTATGGAAATATTTCCATTGTTAATTACTATTGAGGACAGGTAATGAATAACTGAAGAGGTACAGCCTAGATGACCTTGCATGCTCACCTTTGATGAACAGCTTAATCGGTGCTTCCCAGACAGGATGATATGCAAAGAAAATGAAAGCGTTTGAAATTCAACTACATTTTCCAATTAATAGGACATTTAAGTAATTAATCATGCAGAGGAGGAGAAAAGGTCATGGCCACTCTATTTGTAGCTAACATAGCTTCCATTTAGGCATGTGGGGAAGTGAAGGAACCTTGCCATTTACAAGCAACATAACCCTTTTACCATTTCTTACCCCTTCATTTATTGCTTGTTGTGTGTTAATGGTGGTTAGAGAGTATATGTAATTTTTACTCCTGTAACTAGTGGCTAGCTGGGCATTTGCTGTTTCACCCTGCTGCTGTTAATATATGGGTGCATGTTACCGTGCCGATATCTTGTAAAATAGGCTCATGTGTTGAGCAGGTTTTATAGTTGATTTTAACAAAATGTGTGATGATGATGCATATAGGAAAGTAGATGTAAGTTCTTAAGACAGCATTCGTTGCTGATGGTGTTTTTGTTAGTGTCCAAAGTAGTCCCAAAGAACAAGGCTTGAAGTTGGTTGCCTATTCTCAGGTTCATATTGTACGATTGCAAATATTTAGCCTTTTAAAATGGTGTGGAATTATATTGCTCATAATATGTGTTCATATGGCAGTTTAAATAGCTAGGTTTTGAGAGAGTCTGAATGACAAGATAGCTCTTGCGTCTCCCTAAATAACATGTCAGTCGTACAATTTTCAATCAGTTTGACTCTTTGCTCCCTAACCTGACACCTGATGTCTGTTCAGTTTCGTTACAGACCAGTTCACCCCACTGCATTCCCATTCTGTGGAGTATAGTTTCCTGTCCAAATGTCACACAAGCTTTAGAAGTATTTCTCCCCCCCCCCCACTTAAACATGTTTAAGCCCCCTTTATTTAATCAAAGATCAGGTCTTTGTACAATGAAGGGCGAGAGGTATATCACAAAACAGGGTGAGCATACAAATGCAGGCAAGACTGAGTTATACAATGCCACAGTTTAGTATGTTAGGTGTTTAAAAATCTACAGATGATTTTTGGGAATTAGTACCCAGTTTCAAATGCTGGCTCTCCAATAAGGTTACTTTGCAATTTGATCAGAAGGCATAAACTAGGATTAAGTGGTTCTGATTTTTGATCTACATCACACCGGAACTCAAACTGTTTCAAGTTTGAAATGGACTGGAACATTAGGATTTTACTGTGCAGTGGGACTTCTTATGATAGTCTTAAGGTATTTATAGTTAAACTATTTCTGAACACCCAAGCCGTAGCCACGTTGTCAGACTGTCATACGTTCATTGTTTTACATCTTTGTGGAATGTTTTAAATGTTACATCTTTTTTAAAGACGAGAACTAAAAGTACCAAAGAATATGTAATAGCAGATTGTTCATAAATATTGAGTGAGGCTAATGTGACTGAGCAACTTTCTTTCACCCCTGTGTCACCAGTTAAATGTGGCTCAGGTTTCTAGAAAATAGGTGACTGCCTTGATGCCTTTTTGACGCATGTAAAATGAGTGAGTTTGATTTTTTTCAGTAATATTTTTAATGAATAGATGCCCCCATCACAATAACTACCATCAAAATAAGTGAGTGTAACTAGATTACGAGGGATTGAGGGTTTAGTTACTCAGTTGGGATAGCAAGAATATAGTGGTATGAAGAGTCAGAATTAAAGTAGAGTGAAGTAGACACTTCTTTGGTAAAGAGTGGGAAGTCAAATGCAAGTGTGGCAGGTGGAGTGGTGCAAGGAACAGAGAACTTATCTTCCAGCTGGCTGAAGTTGCTGTTCATAGGAGCAGCAGGAGGGTCTCGTTGAATAACATGGCTAAAAGAAGCTAACCCTCCCCTCATTGTATCCTTGTCCTGGATAAACAGCTAAGTGGGAAAGAGGGTGCTCTGCAAAACCAGTTTGCCTGGGCTACAGGTAGGAAGTACAGGGGAGATGGAAAGAGAGAAAATAAACTTAAGTTCAAATGATGGCTCCCACTCCATGAAGCTGTGTGGAGAAGTGGCTGTGGTTCTCACTGCATCTGGCTGTCATGCTCACTGCATCTGGCTGTCATGTTTGTAAACACTAGCAGTACGAAAAATAGCCACTGAGTTCCAAGGGCTTCTTTATTTTCTCTCATGCTGTGGTCTCTGACCATCAGTGAGAGTGGGTGGTAGAAATGAGCAACTAACTGGTTTTTGAGTTTGGTGGCTTAACTGAAAAATCCGGAAAAACAAATTGTTTTGGATGTTTTGTTTTGTTTTTCTCGCTGAAAGTTAAAACTGAAAGAATTTCAGGTTGTGGGTAGAAAAAAGAAGTGGGTACAACAAACCATTGCTTTTGACAATAAATGTTTTTTTTCCACATCTTTCATGTTATTTCCAGGTGTGTGTACTCTTGTTTTAAAAATAAATCTAAGGTTTGAAATCTTTTTGAAATGAAAGGTTGAAAAAGTCACAATGAAATGGTTTGGCTGTCTTGAAATCTTTTTTGGCCAAAACTATTCATTAAATTTGACCCAAATTTGCAAATATTTTTGATCGGCCAGAAGTTTCATTTTTCAGTGGATAAACGATTCATCCAAAAAAAATTTCATCCAGCTCTAGTGGGTGGATGAGCAGGAGATGCCAGCAGTGTGAGGAAAATGCCTTGCCCTTGTCAGCATTGCAGTAGCACCCTCCCAACAGTGGTTGAAACCACAGAGCAGCACCCTGTCAGGCGTCCCTTGATGCTCTCTTCCAGCAGCCATCCAACTATGGAGAGGTAAAATAATGAAGCAACAGGAGGAGAGAGGGTGCAAATAAAGTTAACCTTTTGCTACTTATGTTTGAAAAGTCCTGCTTTTCTATAGCTCTTCACATGCCATGGATCTCTCTTAAGGGTAATAACCAGCCCACTGCTCTGTATGGTGAAGGGGTTCAATGCAAGAAAGCTGTGCATGGGAAGTGCATGACAGAGCTCTGCACAGTAAGTGAGGTGCAAGGCTAGGAGCAGAGAATCCGGTGATGCTCCGATCCTCCCAAGCTTCCCAACTCTTTAGGGTATAATAAAGCTATAACCATTGGCTGAAGTACTCTTCATGGAGCTGCTCTGTGGGGTTGGGGGAAGGATACCTAATTTTTTATATCTTCATTAAATCCCACACATCTGCCCAATGCCTAGTCTTGGCTACTTTAGTGGGTGCTTGTTTAAGGCTTTAGCACCTGGCTACGTGAAAAAATAATATTGCACATGCTTAGTGTGCAGTTTTAAGTCCTCCTAACTTTCTCAAAATAAAACATTTGTTGAAACTAAGCAAAGACCAAAATATTCAGTGGGAATTATCTCCAGGCCAAATCTCAACTTTTAAACTTCTACCATTGTTTAAGCTGGTTCAGGTAGTATGTGTGTGTGTTGGGGGGGGGGAGGTTGGACAGGGGAGAGGTATTTTTTTTTTCTTCTCTCCCATAATTCTAATGGCTGAAGAGATTTTAAGTCAAACTTTACAAAAAGCTCTCCACTGGACAGAAATCAAGCATGGAAAATTTCAGAGCCACAGGCAAATGTTTTGGAATGTTATGAGCATGTAAAAACAGGTAATAATGGAAAGTATTTTGCAACCTTAACTATGGTATTTGCTACCATCACACCAGGTATAATAACCTCTTTTGAATGAGTAATGCAGTTTCAGACATGTTTTTCTATATTGATCTAGACTGCATTTTTCAAATTGTGATCAAAGTGAAAAGTCTATTATTTCTATTATGGGAAAATCATATATGCATAGGGTGACCCGATAGCAACTGTGAAAAAACGAGATGGGGGTGGGGGGTAATAGGCGCCTATATAAGAAAAAGTCCCCAAAAACAGGACTGTCCCTATACAAACGGGACATCTGGTCACCCTATATATGCAGTATATATAACTTTTTATTAAATGTAAGGGGAATAGTTATAGGAGGTGGTCACCTGCAGTTTTAAATATTAGAACTTGTAAATTGTTTGAGCTACAGTTTGCATGATAAGGAATCTGGACTTTATCATTAATATCAATGGAAACATTATCTAATATGGTCAACATCCAGTTACCCCTTTCTGCTGCATTCTGTATCCTTATGTAGGATAACTACTATTTGAATATCACACCTATAATATTGTAGTAGTTGAGCAAAAAAGCTGGTAATTGGCAAAAATATAGGCATACATAGAATTTAATTGTGGTACAGTCAAATGTGGGTTGTTGTTATGATTGCAAAGAGCAGTATACTTAAACAGTCTGGGCTGCATTTGAGTCATCAGGATTACTCCTTAGAAAATGTAATGGGTTAGTGATATGCAGTATAAAAGTCTCCATTGCAGGTTTTACGCAGCTCAAAATGTGGGTGAGATAATTTTGACAGTAAAGCATTGAGAACGTAAACATTTTTCAG